GGACATGTGCCTGCCATGGCCCTGGTTATATGGACCACAAAGATCTAACACACAGAAAAGTATTGGCTAGACACCAGTGCTTTTTGGACATATGTTTTTCCTTTATATTTGATTTTCCAAAAAAACAAATGCAATATAGTAGAGATTGGAAAATTTTTAGTGGAGTATAACACTTTTTGTAGTAAAATAGTAAATTTTGTATAGAGATGTACGCAAGAGACCAAAAAAGAGCAACAGCTGAGGCTGCATGAGGGACAGAGGGATTTAGTATCAAAAGAGAAGTGCTTTCTTTAAATTCATACATCATTTATTGTGTTTATATAGTATCAACATATTATGAGACACTTTCCAGAACACACAGAACCAGAGGTTGGGCTCCACATTCGTCACACAGCTTGCCTGTTTTAGTCAGTAGATTTTTAAGGGATCCTTCAGGATACAAACTCCACACTAATTTTGCCCATGGTGGATTCACCCTCAAGACCAGGTGCTGCAAGAGCAGAGTGGTAGCCGCTTAGGGTCTATTCACAGCTATGTGCACATTGTGGTAACACACACTTTCACAGCACAAACAAAAATCCGCCCTTAGCCAAATTGCTATGTAGTGGAGAAAACACTTTGAGACTGTATCAACAGATTTTGGGCTTGTGTCATTGTCATCCATTTGAGATACACTATATTGTCAAAAGTATTGGGATGCCTGCCTTTACACATGAACTTTAATGGCATCCCAGTCTTAGTCCATAGGGTTCAATATTGAGTTGGCCCACCCTTTGCAGCTATAACAGCTTCAACTCTTCTCGGAAGGTTGTCCACAAGGCTTAGGAGTGTGTCTATGGGAATGTTTGACCATTCTTCCAGAAGCGCATTTTTGAGGTCAGGCACTGATGTCGGACAAGAAGGCCTGACTCGCAGTCTCCACTCTAATTCATCCCAAAAGGTGTACTATAGGTTTGAGGTCAGGACTCTGTGCAGGCCAATCAAGTTCCTCCACCCCAAACTCACTCATCCATGTCTTTATGGACCTTGCTTTGTGCACTGGTGCGCAGTCATGTTGTAACAGGAAGGGGCCATCACCAAACTGTTCCACACAGTTGGGAGCATGAAATTGCTCAAAATATGTTGTATTGCAGAGGCCCTAAGAGTTCACTTCACTGGAACTAAGGGGCCAAGCCCAACCTCTGATAAAAAACCCCATACTATAATCCCCCTCCACCAAACTTTACACTTGGCACAATGCAGTCAGGCAAATACCATTCTCCTTGCAGCCGCCAAACCCAGAAACATCCATCAGATTGCCAGAGAGAGAAGCGTGCTTCGTCACTCCAGAGAACACGTCTCCATTGCTCTAGCGTCCAGTGGCGGCATGCCTTACACCACTGCATCTGACCCTTTGCATTGCATTTGGTGATGTAAGACTTGGATGTAGCTGCTCGGCCATGGAAACCCATTCCATGAAGCTCTGTTGTGTGCTAATCTGAAGGTCACACAAAGTTTGGAGGTCTTTAGCTATTGACTCTGCAGACAGTTGGCGACTTCTGCGCACTGTGTGCTTCAGCATGTGCTGACCCTGCTCTGTCATTTTATGTGGCCTAACACTTTGTGGTTGAGTTGCTGTTGTTTCCATTTACTTCCACAATGTTATAATACCACTAACAGTTGACCGTGGAATATTTAGGAGCCAGGAAATTTCATGAATGGACTTATTGCACAGGTGGCAACCTACCATGGTACCATGCTTGAATTCACTGAGCTCCTGAGAGCGACCCATTCTTTCACAAATGTTTGTAGAAGCAGTCTGCATGTCTAGGTGCTTGATTTTATACACCTGTGGCCATGAAGGTGATTGGAACACCTGAACCTAATATTTGGAAGGGTGTCCCAATACTTTTGGCAATATAGTGTATTTCTGAGTTCATTCAGAATTAATTGACATGTCCATTTTACCTGCTTTTTTTTAAGCAAATAATGTGACAAACTATTAGATTACTATAGCTGTATTCTTTTTGATGTTTGGTTGCTAAAGCTTCAAACCAACTAAAGTTACTGAGGCTGTAAACAGCCCATAGATTAATCTATTTTCGTTCCTTCCACCATGGCTGGCAGAACACAATATTTAACACTAGCGGCTACAGCCACCAACAATAGTTGAAAAATCCTACAGGATGGTTATACCCAAGTCGATTGCAAAAATTGAAGAAAAAATTGGCAATCAACGAAAATGCAGGCGTAGGAATGACAAAGATTTTAGTAGTCCTCTTACTGGGGAAGTCTTTCTTTGGCATCTATACTAACAAACTGAATGCTATATCCTGAATTCATGACCTCAACTGATACCATAAATCGGCTCTCATCTGTTCCCATCTCTCCCTCGTGCGCACGTATATATATATTTATTTATTTATTTTGCATTTAAAGTGTCAACATGCTTATTTTAGATGACAATATTTCTTGTGGTAAAGGGAAGACATTTCTGGGAGATAACTAGTCAAGATAAAAACACATCTTGCTTCGGTTCATGACTACTGACACTAAAAAAAAAAAAGAGCCATGAGAGATACTACATGCAAATAAAATAAAAAAATAGATATCTACTTTACAATAATGAAACTATATTGGCAACACTTTATAATGAATATCATATAATATCATGCTTTGGCAGATTGGTATCAATCCACTTAGCGTCACAAAAACCAAATAGTTTTGGGAATTCAAAAAACAATGATGTTACTGAAATACTAATTTTGACTTTTTGATCAAAAATCAAAAGCTAAACTCCCATCTCATTTTAATTCCTGTCAGTTCATTATAAACTAAATAAATGACATTTGGTGGTGGCTTCTGTAATCATTGATAAAGGAAAGGGTTTCTTGAAATACAGTGAAAAATATCAGCATGATTTTGTATGTTCAGTCTGGACCCAAGTCTTCCTCAGCCCGTAACTTAGTTGTCATTGTTGGGCCAATAAACTGTGGACAGGAGATGCCCTACCCTGCAGCTGCATGCATACAAATGGGCAGGGATGCTCATGAAATCATTGGCATAATAAGGCCATGTGCCCATTTTAGGTAAATTATGTCACCAACATCCCCCATCTTTGTGTATGTCAACTGTCGGACAGTGAATCTCCCACCCAAAGCTCATTGGCCAAGCAATGACAGCTAACTTACAGTTTGGAACAAACTCAAGCCTAACCCAGATTTGTCTCTACTCTTATGAATATGTATCCACTGGCTGTTAATTTCAGCTGTTACATGTGGCTACATGTATGATCCTTAGGTAAGCCATTACCTTTTATTTGTCTGTTGCTTCACGCTGGAATTTTAGGAAAATGCCTAATGCTGGGTGCACACCATTAGTTTTTTTGTTCAATCCAGCGGCTGAACGAAAAAAAAAACTGAAGAGCTTGGGAGGTGCTTGCTGTACTGATGTTAGTACAGAGATCTCAATGCTGAGCTATTGTGTTCTGACAGGGGGATGGGGGACTGTCCCCCCCCCCCAGCACACACCAGAACACACCAGTCAGTCCTGGCAGCCATTGGCTGCCAACACTGATCTGATGCCGATCGAATGCTGTTTTTTCCAGTATGCCTGTTCAGCCATCTTCTGTTTGACAGGTGGGAGCACACAAGGGCTAAATGTTGGCCGGTTTCTATTGAACCAGCCAATACGGCTGACATTCATTCCATGTGTATGGGGCTTAAGACCAGTTTTAAATTAATATTGTTGTTTAAAAGAAAATAATTAGTTACAAAAGCTACCCAACACAGGTAGTGTACTTGCAACCCTTGTAGATAACATACCATGTATCAGCCATTTGACCTATTCAACAAAGTAACAAAAATTAATCAACAGGTGTTAAAATGTTTGTATTGCCTGCAAACTGATCTGTTGGGAAAGAATAGAGTAAAGCCCCATACAAATGATGAGAATGTTGGACGAATCATCATCTTTTTTTTTTTTTGCATGCTAGCCTCATGTCAATAATGAAAAGGTTACTAAAGTTATGAACATTTTTGTAGGACCGTATATTCTGACAATAAGAGCTGGAAGGCTGATTTTAATCATTGTGCTCTATAGAATGCACCAATTCATTTGCACACTTTTTATAAAAATGTTTTCTATTAAGTATAATAATAATAAGTTTTTTTTGTAGCCCACAGCTTCAGTTGTAATAGGAAGGAGCAGGCACAGGGGCAGACTTTAGCTGGCTGAGGAGTACATAGCTTAAATCTAGTTACTTAAGTCTTTTTCAGCCAGGGTTCATAAAGAAAATTGTCATACATTACTTGAGTAATGAAGATCTTCTAACTCTCAGTAACCATTGATATTACAATTTTTTTCAGCTGTGTGTAAGGGGGCATTTTTTGCATTGGTCAACAATAAAGGTTTGTCCTTCTCCCACTGTCCATTAATATAAGTTGTCCTTTTCCCATTGGCTATTGGCAATGTATACGACCACTACACCGGCCACCAATATAGGAAGACACTTTTCCATTGACCACCAATGTAAGGTGGTGTTATTGACCACCAATTTCACAGTTGGTGTTTCCTGTCTACTAGTTATTATTTGTTCCACTTCATGATTAGTGCTGAAACATTTCTTTTCTTATAGAGTAGGGGAGTGTCAAAAAACTGCTCTGGTTCTCAATGATGATACACTACATTCTTTTATGTAATATTATATTTACAACTTTGTGATCACGCAAATCTGCCATGAGCTAGAGGGGTAAGAATTTAGCAGGGGTTCCCAGAGACATGAAAGTTATTTCAAGGGTTCCTCTGTATTAAAAATGTTGAGAAAGGCTGGGTTAGTGGATGAAGGAGTAGAGACAAACAATGGGGGGGGGGGGGTTTAAAGTTTGTAAGCTAATAGGGGCAAGATAAAAGTTCAGTGTGAAAAGACCAAGTGAGCTCTCCAGTGAAATGGAAACCGACAATGTACAGGGTATTCAAATCAAATATAGGACAATGCCAAGATATGCATGTTCTTGGATTACCTGAGACCATTTCTCCTCCATAACCCTGCTTAACAAGGGAGAATACACTTTTCTGCTGGTGAGCACAGTCAATGCAGGCTTGAACTGCTTGCTGCAATACCATGGAAGGGCGCTCCGGGCCAAAGTGATCAGGCAGCTGCTGAACCTTTTTTCTGTCAAGGTAAGGTCCTGTGTTACCTTGTTTGTTTACATAAATGCAAACTGCAATTCAAAGAAAATGAAAAAGTAATGTTAGAAATGTCCAAGACAAAATGTACATGTATTCCGATAGTGACAGTTCAAGACATCCAATTCAAAGATAAAAGCTCTTAGTATACTGAATAAAAATGATAAAGAACTATCTGTGACTGCGTGGGTTTCCTCCGGGTACTCCGGTTTCCTCACACACTCCAAAGACATGCTGGTAGGTTAATTGGATCCTGTCTAAATTGGCCCATGTATGTATGAATGTAAGTTAGGCACCTTAGATTGTACGCCCCTTGAGGGTTAGGGACTGATGGGAATGTACAATATATATGTAAAGTGCTGCGTAAATTGACGGCTCTATATAAGTACCTGAAATAAATAAATAAATAAATATTAGAGTCATTATCCTACAATTGTAAAATCTGCTATTAAAGGACCAGTACACCTAAAAGTGATATTTTAGTTATGGGTTGGACCTGGTAGGCTGAATCAATCTCTGCCTTCTTATTTGTCTTGAATGCTCCAACAGCAAGGTTTCTCTGCCATCATTTTCAACTGTTCCAGTCAACCTTGGAGTTTTGGTTATCTCAGTCACCTTTGCAGATATAGAGAACTGCCAGGTGGTTTAATTATCCAGCATTTACCACAACCTGGAATATCCATTTTAGATGAACTGACTTTTTAAATGACTATAATGACTCTGCGAAGACCCAATCCATAGGCTATTTTACCAATCCATAGGTTATCACAGAAGTCTATTAAATTTGAAACTACTGAGGATGTATGGCTGTTTCTGTACATTCTAACAATCTTAGAGACATGTTATCTATGTCTAATTTTAACATTATTTTTACATAAATTAAGTAGTATGTAATTTCTAAAAAGTACTGTACTGTTACTGTAGCTTTAATCATTATTTGGGTAGTGACCAGATGTGGATGGGTATCTCCATAAAGGCTAAATACAGATAGTTTTCTATCAAATATAATTCTATACCTGTGAGTGCCTGTGGGACAGTGGAATTGGGCACAGTTGCTGCATCCTGAGGAATGGAGCTGATATCTGGTTCTGGGGTACTGCGTGGTGGTGAAATTGCTAATGGTGTCATTACAACACGAGATTTCAGCTGCAAAAGATTAAAAATTAGAAAAAAAAATGTCAAAGGAAAAATATTCATTAAATAAAATGCAATCATTTAATTAAAAGGTTATTCTTGGTTTACAGAGGACTACATTAGAAATGAAAAAAAAAAAAAATATTGCAAGAGCAAGAATTACAAGCAGATCATTTTGTATAGATAGTTCTGTAGTCATAATTATTATATGTGAAACTGAAACCATCCGATAATTCTGTTTAGACTAACGTTTACACATGTTTAAAGAGGCTTAATGTATGCCTAAAGCCAAGATTTTTTTGTTTTAGGGAAGGGTTAAAAGTTGTAAATTTTTGCCATGTCCCATTAGGGAGATTTCCCTTTGCTTCATATCCTGCAGACATATCGGAAAGCTAGAGCAAGTCTTTCTGAAGTGAGGGAAGACGTCTGTTAGACAGCTATCACTGCAACAAGTATCACAACTGGAAGACTTACCCTCACTTTCAGTCCTGGTGACAATAGTCAAAAGGAAAGAGTGAATCTCCCAAACTGTTCCAGACATTTAAAAAATCTAGCATCTCCCACACTCTATCCTAAACAAAATAAAAATGATGGGGTTAAAGTGTACTTTAATATTATGACAGTGGAGTGTGCATTTTACTCATTAGTGTTTGTTACTAAATTGATTATAAAGTTTTGCACACTTGTAAAAGACATGACTCAAGTACTGTAACCTTTTGCAACAGCCAAAGATGCATTGTAGAGATTATTCAAGAAGGAAAGAAGAGGAAGCCTTGAAAAGACATCCAGAATATGGAGAGACATGAACTACACAGAAAGAAAGCAGTGAAAGCAAGAGCTACTATAGAATTAAATTATAAAGTTTTATTTCAAAAAGTTTACTTCAACAGAATGCATTGCATCCTAAATAAGCAATAAAAGGTATATTCTGTTTGTGCTGGGGCTTTAATATCCACCCTATTAACTCCTGGTCTTATACTGACATTTATAAAATCACAAACTAGTCAGTTAATTGCAACCCAATCAAGCTTCCTGTGCTATGGGCCATATGCTACCTTTTTTCAACCATTTAGCTGGTAAACATTATAGTTTTATTATGGTACCATGGCTTTCAAAGCAATATCAATTATCCAGCTTGAAGGAAGCAGTGACAAAAATGCAGGATGTCAGTTTATAAGTTTCACTCAAAAGTATCGAAATTCAATTGTTAAGTACTAGTATACCTGAATGATAATTAACAGATCTCTTTATGTGTGTTTTTATGTTTTACAAAAGTGAGACTGTATTTGGTCTCTAATCTTATTTACAATTATTATTTATTCCAAATTTACAATGAAACTTAAGACTGTACTGCCTAGAAATAAAGCATTCATGTAAAAAGCATGATGAAGCATTTTAGTGGTTTTCTGTTGTACAATTCTGTATGCATGATTGAAGGTTTGGAAAGGCATATATGTATGTTTGTGTACCTTCCAAATGTATGCAGGTTTAGGATTCACTTAGACCAAAATCTCCATCTTCAGTGTGCAATTTATGTGCACACATGAGTGCACGCATTTGTATCACCTTTGTGGCACATTTTTGTTGTGTTTTTCAGGCATTGTTTATTATATTTTTTACTGAGTTGCATTTATGTGCATTTGTGGTGCATTCATGTGAATTTACATAAATTTACATGCAAATAAACACAGGACATTGTACTTTTTTTAAACACACATGGAAGCACGACAATAGTGTAAATTAGGTTAATTGAAGTACATTAATTTATCTTGCATACACATTTGTACTAAAAATTAAAAACGTGTTTGACTGCATGTGGTGTAAATAAGCCCGAAGGGAAATTTTATATATTTAGGCACATGCTTAATGGGCAAGTACCTAGATAAACTGTCACAAAAACAATGTTCCAAGAGTGCAAAGTGCAATGTATTATGTGTAAAGTGCAGAATTTGCAGCAAATTGGTTTCTAAGCAGTCTAAGCAGTTAACAGTGATTACAAACTGGTTACTTTATACTCCGTCTCAATAAATATATCCGACTGTACCTTGCCTCTTTTTGTATTTTATACTTAAACATTGTAATAATTGATTTCACGGATGTTTAACAAGACCATTTTACAAATTTACATTAAAGATGGCACAAAACAAAATTAGAATGAGAGATACATTTATTAAAAATGCATAAGACCTATTGATTTAACTGTGTACTGAACCAAACTTTAGTACAAAACATTGACTGATATTAGGGAAGAACATCAGACTAAATTAGAACTCCTTAATAATTTCTAATGGCAGAGCTGCTTAAATATAATCTATTAATAATTTTTCTCCACAGTTTCGCAAGAGGAGATGTCTTCTAATATGCATATTTTGCTGATCTCCTAAATCAAAGAGCGGAAGAGCAGTGGTCATTATGTTTTGCTCTCCCACACATGCAATGACTACTAGATACATGAGGACCACATAAATAGAGGGTGCCTGGTATTTCAAAGAGCGAGTACTAAGAACTAGTGTTGCTTCCCTTTAACCATCAGTCAGTGCAGGTGGGTCAGAGTCCAATGGGTGACATGTCTTGATTAGTGTCTTAGAAGGATATGGATGAGGCTCCCCTCCAAATGAAGTCACCATTTTAGGGGACGGAAGCTTGCCTGTGACAAATCCAGATTTGTATTTGAAAAGCAAAATAAATGTTAACGGATGTTTCAAGAGGTTCAACTTTATTGTATGCAAGACGACAATTCATTTTGGTGGCTTAAAAGTCCTCGTAGGGGCTATAACAGATAACAGATACAACATATTGCCGTTTCTGTTACTCTTTATTCATAGCTCTGATGAAGGATGTATGTTTAAGCATGTTGGCTTCTTGCATAAAAGAAAGTAGACTTTTCCACTTTTCCACATACAAACTTAGATTTAAATCTTATTAATGGCCATAGGAAGCTAACTACAGTTCTTAGTGCTGATATTTTGACACAACAGTTAGAAGAAGCTGCTTAATGAAGTGTTTCAAAAATGTATCTATGGCTTTTTGTTTATTATATGCTTTTTAGGTCAAGGTATGGACACCATCTTGCCCCATCTGTATCAAAATACAACCCATAATTATTTGTTAAAGCGGAACACCAGGCAAATGTAAAAACTTGAACGCGGTTCTCAAAAAAATTAAATTTAATTGTGAAATATTGCTTGCATAAGAACTTTAATACTGTCTTACTATTATCCCCAGTACACCAGGATGCAGAGAGACAGAGGGTGGGCTAAAAGTGTGAAACTATTAGGCCTTATAGCTTAGCATAGTACTGTCAGACTAACACTAGGAATTTTCTTACAGGAAGCAAGAATAAAGGGATGACCTCATCAGTGTGCTGATGGGAAGGCAGGTGATCAAGGTAGCAGAAGATCAGCAGTCATTATTAATCACACATCACCTGGGGGGTGGTCCTTTGCCTAAATTCCTTTGTGGGAAAGGGGAAGACATTGTACTTTATATACAGAGGATGCTTATGGCTATAAAAACATATGATATAATACAGACATAACATTGAAGATTAGGATTCTTTTTGCCTGGAGTTCTTCTTTAAATTCAAGTGTGGGATACATGTTGCACATTAATTAAAATACAGCTCTACTTTTAAATCAAGTTGGGGTCAACTTCCCCCACTCGTCCTTCTCGTCCTATAGATATTAAAATTGGGGGCTCAAGACCTCCTAACTGAGCTAGAGGGTTGTGAAGGAGAGAGCCATGGGACATTTCTATGGGATACAGTGTGCAAGGAGGGGCATTTGGCCCCAACTTGTTTTAAAAATACAGCTGTACTTTAAGTAATATAGGAGGTGATACATGAAAATATGTAGAAATAATGTATGTAAAGACTAAAGGTTGGTGGTGTATCCTGAAAAAAAAATCAAATACTCACACTCTGAAGATTCAGTGCTTGAAGATTTATTGTGAGGGCATTCAATGAGTAACAACGTTTCGGTTTTGCTATGGCCCTTTCATCGGATAAGTTGAACAGTGGCACTGGAGCCTTTATATACTAAAACATAAGTGAGAACAATGCTATCAGTTCCCAATTAGGATACACCACCCTTTTTGTCTTTACAAATGATTTCTAACAGCAAGCCCATAAAAGACCTTTCAAATTTGCATGTATTCCTTCTACTTTGAAATTCAGTTCCTGTAATTCACCATATTTCTTTGGTATACGGTACTATATTTTGATGAATCTCTGAAGATGTCACATCCCGCCCAATCCCATAATAGTAACATGTTTACAAATGTATATAGCCTGTATATACCTCCATGGTAAATGTAGGCTATAGTAGACATGGTCACCTACCCCGTATTTAGCTCCACTCCCACATCCAGTGCTTCCTTGCTACAGATTTTAAGAATATAGATAAGACAGTCAGCCCTCCGGAACCTTCCAACTAAAATCAGCACTCTATCTGCACACTGTAAAAATCACAGGATGTGCACCACGTCTCAGACCTATGTTTTTTTCTCAAGCTATACAAGATGCTGCTAACAGCTCTTAAAGCTGGGCTCCAAACATTTTTTCATTCTGGATAGAGTTGAAAAGAGTTAGTTTCTATAAGATTTATATATCTGTTTGTGAACCCATTTGGGAGATTTTCTTGCAATTCCTGTCACTGTGATACTCATACTAGAAAGAGAGGTTTTGGGAGTGACAGGAAAACAGGCACAGGCATCAATAATTAACATTGCTTTTTATCCCTTTACTAAAAATGTGTTTTTATCTTGGCTCCATAGGAAATCACAGGAAGTAATTTTCCATCAGTTCCTGTGCTGACAGAGAGTGGAAGAAAATCTCCACATTAGGGACAAAGACAACATTAACATTAAAAATCCAACAGGGACTTTAACCTTTCCCTGTTCTGTCCAATTTGAAATTTAAAAAAATGTCAGGAGCTGGGCTTTAAACATAGGTAGTTGTTCCAGCAGCATGAAAAATATTACCTGAACTATTGTATAGAAAAGACAAACTGCAC